ATCCAACCAGTCCATCCTAAAGGAGATCAGTCCTGGGTGTTCATTGGAAGGACTGATGCTGAAGCTGAAACTCCAATACTTTGGCCACTTCATGCGAAGAGTTGACTCATTGGAAAAGACCCTGATGCTGGGAAGGATTGGGGGCAGGAGAAGAAGGGGACAACAGAGGCTGGATGGAATCACTGACTCAATGGACATGAGTTTTAGTAAATTCCAGGAGTTGGTGATGGACAGGGAGGCCTGGCATGCTGTGATTCATGGGGTTGCAAAGAGTCGGACACGACTGAGCGACTGAACTGAACTGAACTGAAGCGAGTATCCCTGTAAGGCAAAGTTTTGCTTTTGCATCAGCCAAGTCTGTGATGGGGATGCATGTGGGATGGAGTGACGAACAGTACACTGTCACTTTAAATTTGCTTGCAGCCTCAGCAGAAATGTTTAACACTGGGTGTGCTTAGAGGGCTCATCTTTTATGTTTCAGATTAGCCAGACCTTGATTTGGGGGTCTTCTATTTGTTGTTATTTAGTCACTAAGTCATGTCTAACTCTTTTGCAACCCCATGGACTGTAGCCTGCCAGGCTCCTCTGTCCATGGGATTCCCCTCAAGAGTACTGGAGTGGGTTGCCATTTCCTTCTCTAGGGANTTAAAAGACGCTTGCTCCTTGAAAGGAAAGTTATGGCAAACCTAGACAGCATATTAAAAAGCATCAATTCTTCAGTGCTCCACTTTCTTTATGGTCCAACCCTCACATCCATACATGACTACTGGAAAAACCATAGCTTTGACTAGATGGACCTTTGTTTGCAAAGTAATGTCTCCGCTTTTTAATATGCTGTCTAGATTGGCCATAACTTTTCTTCCAAGGAGCAAGTGTCTTTTAATTTCTTTTTTTTTTTCCATTTATTTTTATTAGTTGGAGGCTAATTACTTTACATCATTACAGTAGTTTTTGTCATACATTGAAATGAATTAGCCATGGATTTACATGTATTCCCCATCCCGGTCCCCCCCTCCCACCTCCCTCTCCACCCGATCCCTCTGAGTCACAACTTCTACAACTAAAACATAGACCTCAGTTTTCCTAGGTCCCAAGCTGTATTAACATTTACCCGTCCAGAAGACAGAAATAAATGGAAAAAATTCAGAGATGTTCTTGAGAAGCATTTAACAACCAAATCTGACCACTGGAATCAACTGGAGGAGCTTTTAAACAAACCAGTGCCTGGGCAAATAACAGAAAGGTCTATTAGAGAGCTTGTTTTATGCCACTCACTCAGCTTTCACAACCATCCTGTGACACACGTATTATCCTTATTCTTGATATACAGTTCAAAAGACTGGCGTCATAAACATGAACTGGTTTTCCTAACTTTAGCTGGCTTTGAACACAGGCACAGGTGGCTCCAGAAGCCAGCCCTTAACTGCTGCCCTCTGCTAACCTGTCTTCCAGCTGGCCACGTACTCCTCGTCTCTAAAAACAGCAAAGAAATGACAAGTCTAACTGTCCAAACTGGGTTGAAAGTTTGAACAAGTTGCTTTAGCTTCTTTGGCCCTTCTCATAGGTCAAAGGAAGGAATTGGATTTTGAACTCATAATTTAATCACTTCAATAAGAAGCAGCTTAAATGTGTGGCAAGCAGGAATCAGAGTTTAGCATTAGATGCCAGATTTTGTATTGAAATTACATCAGTTAAGCTTCAGGACTTTCTTTTAAGTGACAGGGCCAAACCTCAAAGGAACTTAAAGAAGGAAGCAGGAGTTTATAAGCTCACTGACTAGTTGCAAACAAACTTCAAGGTCATCATAAACTCTTCTCCCAGCTCCATTTCCATTTTGGTCCGCAACCCTCCATCTCTAGCTTTCTGAACTCGCTTGTCGCCACTTTTGCTTACCTTCTGTGAGGTGGTGACAAAATCGGCCCCAGGAGTTCTGATGTTTCACCATTATCACACGTGGGAATCCAGGAATAAATGATAAAACTATCTCCCTTCCACAACCTATATCAGGACTCGGCTCAGATGAGGTCACATGAACAGCCCCAACCCAGTCTCCACGGCCAGGGGATGCAAGAACATGATTGGCCAATCAGCCTCTCTTAATGATGACAGTACCCCTGACTGACGGCCTTCCTGCAAAGACAGAGGGGTAAGGGAGAGTGTTTCCCAAAAGGAAGTTATGTGAGCCAGACCAAAGATTTATTTAAAAAAAATTTTTTTTTTTTTGCTGCACCGCCTGGCCTGTGAGATCTTAGGTTCCCCACCAGGGGTCAAACCTGAACCCTCTGCACTGGAAGCATGGGGTCTTAACAGCTGGATCATCAGGGAAGTCCGAGACCAAAGCTTTAATAATCGTGTAAGAAGAATAATGCTGGTTGATATTAGCTCTTCTAGGTATCTCTTCAATGCCTGTGTTCTCTGCCCCCCAGTTTTACTGGGCTGCAATTTTCTGCCCAGGAGCAAGCATCTTTTCATTTCGTGGCTGCAGTCACTGTCCACAGTAATTGGGTTCCCTTTTCTCCAAACTCTCTCCAGCATTTATTACTTAGAGTCTTTTTGATGATGGTCATTGTGCCGGGTCATACCCTCTTACAGAGATGTCCCACAGTTCCCTGTGGTGTCTATTACTCCTTGTGGCAATGTGTTAAGCCCAAGTACAACTACAGTAATGGAGTGAACAGTGCCCATTCTACCCCTCCTTCCCTCAACGTATGTCCACCCAGGACCTCAGAATGTAGGTTGGCCAAACCCTGAAGGTCAGAGGTTGGGCAGCTGCTCTTTATTACATTAGCTTCATTGCTGGGAGAGACTGAGCCTTACACTTGGTTTGTCATTGGACCAGCTGTGATGGAACAGCAGTGGGAAGCAGAAGGAAAGGAAGCCAGGCAACAGCGTGACCAGGAATACACACTTGGGTACCGGGGCCCTTGTCTTCCTTTGTCTGCCTTAGTCATCGCTGATACCAGCTCCTGGCATGAAGTAGGTACCATCTAAAAACTTAGTGGATGAACAAATAAAAACCTCAGATCTGATTTTTTTTTTTCCTCTTGTTGTTCCCTAGGAGGGGTTCCAATGCAGAAGATGGCAGCCTATGGCTCATCCAAGGCAGCTCTGATCATGTTTTCATCAATCCTGCGACAAGAACTGTCCAAATGGGGAGTTAAAGTCTCTGTCATCCAGCCCGGAGGATTCAGGACAAGTAGGTGTCTGAGCCCAAAAGCCCTGCAGTGTTCATTCTGGAAGAGATTCTGACAGAGGTTCTGTTCTGACAGAGGTCCAATCAACCCCACCAGCGGTGCGCCAAAATGGGGTTGGGATGGGTGGGCCTCCTTTAAGCGTGTATCAGTCGCTTCAGTCGTGTCTGACTCTGTGCGACCCTGTGGACTGTAGCCCTCTAGGCCCCTCTGTCCATGGGATTCTGCAGGCAAGAATACTGGAGTGGGTTGCCATGCCCTCCTCCAGGGCATCTTCCTGACCCAGGGATCAAACCCCCCTTTTCTTACTTCTCCTGCATTGGCAGGTGGGTTCTTTATCACTAGCGCCCCCTGGGAAGCCCCTCTTTCAAGCACTGACGGCCAAGTGCCTGGTTTTGCAATGTATAGTTGCTCCCCGGCTTCCTCACACCAACGAATTATGTTGATGTCATGTATTTTTTCAAATACCACCTTGTCCCCTCTGGAGGATATGGATATGATCTGCCTCCTTCTACCCTGGGAGGAGATAGCTGTCCTTTCTTCTCCTCTGCTGAATTTCTGAATTTTTTAGGGAGAGGCAGATGACCCCCCATGGCTCAGTCCTTAGTTGTGGGCCATCAAACATTTAATTGGTGATTTAAGCGAAGATGTAAAAGAGCATGCCTAATAAAAAACCACACACTGGGAGAGGGATGCCTAACATACTAAGGAACAAACCCTAGAGGTTTGAATATTAACTCAAACACACCAGATGTAAATCGAAGAGAAAAGCAGAACTTTGTCTTGAAGTATTTGGCAGCCAGGAGTCTCCCAGAGCTGTCCAGGAGGAGCCAGGAGATGGTGAAAGGGTTCATCTGGGAAGGAAACCTGGGGAAAGACATCTGACCCATCCAGGATGAGAGGTGGGACCAGAACAGTAGGAATGGGGGTGGGGGGAGGTGAAGTCTGGGGAGGGGTTTTCAGCTTGGGGACTCTCTGGGTGGGGAGAAGAGTTGAGGGGAGTTGATGGAGAAGGAGGGTGGTCGGAGACGATGCCAATGTGACAGCCTGAGAGACAGAGCGAGGAAAGCTGCCTGACAGCTAGTGGAAAAGGGGAGAATGGTGAACTGGCAGGAGGATTGAGGGCTTGCTGACACAGCCAACGTAAACTTCTAACAGAGATGTAGGATGCACTATGGACCAGACAGCAGCCCTGCAATTAAGTGACTGTTTCAAGGACCCAGTGAAATTGTCATCGCTAGCATTTGGGGGCAGCTGCTCTTTATCAGGCACTAGCCATTTTCCATACATTCCTTCCTGATGCTGTTGATCTTATTTTTTAAATTGAGAAATATATCACATATACACAGTTTAGTAAATTGTTATAGAAACTCACGCACTTAACATCCAGATCAAAAAACAAAGCATTCCCAGCTCCCAGAAGCCCCCATATGGTCCTCTCCGCTTTTGGCTCTCTCCTCCCTGCAACACTTAACCTCCTGCACTTTTTCTAACAATTGTTTATTTGCTGTTCTTGACAGTGTTTCATGCATACATGCATCCTCAAACAATAGTTTGGCTTTATTGGTTTTTAAGCTTTGAACAGAATCAACATGTATGTAATCTTTTGTGTCTGTCTTTTTTCACAAAATATTATGTTTTCACAATTCATCTGTGCTGTTCATAGCTGTAGTTCATTCATTTTCATTGCTGTGTCATATTCTGTGAATATGCCACAAATTTTTCTACTATCAATGGGATATTTGGGTTGCTTTGGACTTCCCTGGTAGCTCAGACGGTAAAGAATCTGGCTGTAATGCAGGAGATCTGGGTTCGATCCCCGGGTCAAAAAGATCCTCTGGAGAAGGGAATGTTTACCCACTCCAGTATTCTGGACTGGAGAATTCCATGGACAGAGTAGCCTGGCTGGCTACAGTTCATGGGGTTGCAAAGAGTCAGACACGACTGAGCGACTTTTTCTCCTTTCTTTCTTTCTTCTTTGGACAATTGTGAACAATTCTGTGGAGCTCCTGGCACATGTACTGTGGTGTGTGTGTGTGTGTGTGTGTGTGTGTGTGTGTGTGTGGCTTTTCCTATGACACATACCCAGGAATGAGGTGACTAGATCATAGATTTTCATTATCTTCAATTTTACTGGATAATTCTAAATTGTTCCCTTTAATTATCATTCCAATTTTACTCCCATCCTTTCTGTATATGTCTTAATTTACATCACAGCTCTGAGGGGTACATTTAATTGATATCATTCACCAGGCGAGGACACTGCAGTAAGGTGGGTAACAGATATTCCAGCATGGACATCTATGACACCACAATGGTGGGGAATTAGAAATCAGATCCCTTGGTGTAGTGCCTGGTTCTTTTATATCATAAACTAAGCTGCTCTCAAGTTACAGCTGACATTTGGGGACTTCCCTGGCAGCCCAGTGGGCTTTCCTGATAGCTCAGAATCCGCCTGCAATGCAGGAGACCCTGGTTTGATTCCTGGGTGGGGAAGATCCGCTGGAGAAGGGCTAGGCCACCCACTCCAGTATTCTTGGGCTTCCCTTGTGGCTCAGTTGGTAAAGAATCTGTTTGCAATGTGGGAGATCTGGGTTCAATCCCTGGGTTGGGAAAATCCTCTGGAGAGGGAAAGGCTACCGACTCCAGTATTCTGGCCTGGAGAATTCCATGGACTGTACAGTCCATGGGGTCTCAAAGAGTTGGACACGACTGAGCAACTTTCACTTCACTGGCAGTCCAGTGGTTAGGACTCCGTGCTTCCACTGAGGGGGTTGGGGTTCAATCCCTGATCACGGGGACGATCCCACCGCACGCCACACAGTGGGGCCAAAAAGAATAAGTAAAATGAAAAATAAAGCTGATATTTGCTGGGCTCTCTAAAGGCAAGAGGCTAGATGATGAAGGGCTGAGGACGTATGTTTGGAGAATGACATTTGAATTGGGAGATGAGGAAAGGAATCTTTAGGGACACAGAATTTCTGAAGACATTCAAGGAGACATCAGATTTTTGGGGTCCCTTGCAATAAAAATAGCTAAAACATTTTGCACTCCAAGCACATTTTAAGATTTTATGTGATCCCCTGGAGAAGGAAATGACAACCCACTCCAGTATTCTTGCCTGGGAAAACCCACGATGGAGGATCCTGGTGGGCTACAGTCCATGGGGGTCACAAAGGTCCGACACGACTGAGCGACTGAGCACACATGAGGTAGGCGTCATAATAATCCCATTTCGTAGGTAGAAAACTGCGGCTCAGAGGAGTTAAGGAATTTCTCAAGCCCCAGAGCTGAGACGAGGTAGTGTTTGGATTTGGAACCAGGTCATCTTAACAGTTTTATTGTGTATGGCCTCAAAGTGGCAGGGGATGGGCAACTGTATGTCAGAAGAGGCAGATGAAGTTTGATCAAAGCCTGGTGGCTTTGTCATCAACAAACATAGCTTTGGGGATTGTGAACAGGGCAGGTGCAAGAGTAATTAGAAAGTCCATGAGATGTTCAGGGAGGGAGGAAGTGGAGAGGAAAAGAAACCCCCCTAGTCTGTGAGAGCAGAGACTAGGGAAGAAGCAGCTGGAGGAACCATAGTTCATGCAAATATGTTTTCCAAGTCAAAGAAGCCCCCCGAGTGGTAATTGTCAGTGTAATCATTTCTTTAAGTATGGGTGTCAGGGTGTCATGCCTTCATGAAAAGAAATGAGCAATTGAAATCCTGTTTGCATTTCCTTGAGTATAACTGGATTAGCCAGGCTCCCTCACTGTTCTGATATCCAGGAGTCACCCAGGCTGGCAAACAAAACTCACCCCCACGGCAACCCGTGTGCAATCACACACTTTGCAGGAGGGAGTGTGGGTCGCTACAACCTTTCTGGAAAGTAATCTGGCAGTAGCTATTAAAATTCAAAATATACCTGCTTTTTGACCAGATTGTCACCCTTTGGAGATAGTAGCCCAAAGAAGTAAAGGGTGAAAAACAAAAGAATATATTGTGCAAGGTTGTTGATGGCAGCGCTGCCTGAAATGGGGAAACCTAGGAATGACTGGGTTGTCCTTTGATTGAGAAGCAGTGACTAAAGACTGCTTGGTGGAAAATTCTGCAGCTCTGGTTTAAACCTTGATCTATTGACCAGGAGGCAGGTCTGTGATTTATTACTAAGCAAGCAAACCAAAAACAAAACCTGCAAACAAAAAATACATACTCTATGTGTTTTCCAATGAAAACACATATAGTACGATCCTTTCTGTGTTTTGTTTGTGAAAACACAAATGAAATGAAGTTAAGCTGAAGTCAAACATACACATATATGTTTATGAAGTAGAAGGGACTGTAAAATGACACACAAAACTGTGAGTGACCTCAGAGGAGATTAATTTTTAAAAATATGCATCTCCTTATTACTCATTGTTTATACAATAAGCAGGCATTGCTACTATATTTTAAAGTAAATATATAGATATTATTGGGCTTCCCTGGTAGCTCAGCTGGTAAAGAAACTGTCTGTAATGCAGGAGACCCTGGTTTGATTCCTGGGTCAGGAAGATCCCCTAGAGAAGGGGTAGATTACCCACTCCAGTATTCTTGGGCTTCCCTCGTGGTTCAGATGGTAAAGAGTCCGCCTGTAATGAGGGAGACCTGGGTTCGATCCTGGGTTGGGAAGATCCCCTGGAGGAGGGCATGGCAACCCACTCCAGTATTCTTTTCTGGAGAATTCCATGGAGGGGAATTCCATGGAGAATTCCACCAGGGGAGCCTGGTGGGTTATAGTCCATGAGGTCACAAAGAGTTGGACATGACTGAGCGACTAAGCACAGCACAGCACATAGATATTATTAAATTTTCTATAATAAGCAAGAATTTACTTCTATATTAAACTGTGGTTATATATATAATCACATATCATTATGTGTTAAATTTTAATGTGTTGTTTAAAATGAAAATTGTATTTATTAAATAGATAAAATCATGTTAAAAAAAATCATGTTCAAAATTATTTTTTTTTTAACTTTTTTTTATTTTTTGGCTGAAAGGCTTTTGGGACCTTCCCTGACCAAGGATTTAACCTGGGCAATGGCAGTGGAAACCTGGAATTCCAACCACTAGGCTACCAGGGAATTCCTAATGTTATATATTTAACTTTATACACAGGCATTACTGCTATATTTTTAAAAGTGAATAGAGGGACCTGATGGGCCACAGCCCATAGGGTTGAAAAGAGTCGGACAGAGGTGACTTGGCACGTTGGCATAGATAATACATACATTATATTTTATATTGTATATAATAGTCATGAAAAGATATGTACTAGAATGTTTATGGCAGCACTATTTGTAAGAGCCTAAAATTGAAAACAACCCCAACGGCCATCATAGTATAACAGATCAATAATTTATGGTATGTTTACAGAATGGAAAGCTATTTACGCAATACATGTACCCATGTGTGCATGTGTTTAAAGTCAGGTAAAACTCTGTTCTGTTCATTGGAACAGTTGCTTCTGGGAAAGCAGCCTTGGCTGGTTTTTCCTCTTCTTGGTCTGGCTGCTGGTTACATGAGCTGTTCAGTTTGTGGAAACCTAGTCCTCTGTGCCCTGTTCTGTATGCCTGTTTAAAAGGATAGAACTGCCATCATAAAGCACATACTTTAGGATTTCCCTGGAGGTCAAGTGGTTAAGACTTCACCTTCCAATGCAGGGGCTGTGGGTTCAATCCCTGGTGGGAGAGCTAGGATTCCACATGCCTCTCTGACCAAAAAAAAAAAACAAAACAAAAAAACCCAAAATCAACAACAGAAACAAATTCAGTAGAGACTTTAAAAATGACCCACATCCAAAAATCTTAAAAAAAATAAAAAAGCAAAACACTTACTTTAAAAGGCATTTGGGAATGTCCTTCCTGACAGAAGCCAATTCACAAGAGCCTTCTTCCTAATCAGGGGTAGGACATGCCTGTTCTGGCCTTCCCAGCATCTGAGCCTCTCTTTTTTTCCTCGCATCTCAGACATCTCAGGCACGAGTCGAATGTGGGAGAAGCTGGAGAGAACTGTCCTGGACAACCTCTCCCCTGAAGTGCAAGAGGACTATGGCCAGGACTATATCCTTAGCGAACGTAGTTTTCTCCGGTTAATGAAAACCTCCTCTGATCCGGACATCTCCCCAGTGCTCCTGGACGTTCGGCATGCCATCTCTGCTCAGAGCCCCTTTGCATTTTATGCGCCGGGGAAATTGTCTTATCCGTGGCTCTGTTTTGCTTCCTTCAGCCCTACTGGCATATTTGATTATCTTAGCAGAAAAATATATACCTACAGTAAGAAGATGCCCAGAGTGTTAAGCACATCTAACTGGGAGGATGAGGCTATGTAGGCAAATCAGTGGGAAATGTTAAGCATCTTGGAATAAAAAGGAATCTCAAGCTTCTCATTAAAGTTGTGGCTTCCTTCCTTGCAGCCCCTGTGAATTCTGTTGGTTGAATAGGGAGACAGGAGGGAAAGGGGCAGGGCACAACTTTTAAAAGAATGATAGCTCCATTGAGCATATGACCAAAAAAAGCTGGTTAGAACCAACTAGGCCCAAGTTGCTGGAAGATTCAACTCCCAGTGGATCGAGCTTCATTAGACGCTTATTGCAATTTATTAGCTAAATGCCACACTCACAGGTGCCAGGACAGTTCTGAAGCCGACCATAAAAGGCCAGAAGGCAGGCAGTGCTCCAATTCCTGAAAATCCTTACCCCTTTCCCGAAACAGTTGGAGTGACCCTCCCATTCACCTGTTGGCTTATGAAATCACCCAGCCCGTAAAAACTGACTGTCCCATATTTCAGGGCTGCTCTCCAAGCCTTTTGAGATGGCCCACACTCGGTCTGTGGAGTGTATATCTTTCTCAATAAATCTACTTTGTACCTATCACTCTTCTGTGATGAGACATAAAAAACCTGAGCTTCATTAAGTCCTGAGACCAGGTGGGTGATTTCAATTAAGATACAATGGGTTTGAGGGGCTTCCCTGGTGGTTCGGTGGTTGGGAATCCGCCTGCCACTGCAGAGGACAGAGGTGTTGATCCCTGGTCTGGAAAGATCCCACGTGCTGAAATGCCACAGGGCAGCTAAACCCATGCGCCGCAACGACTGAAGCCTGTGCTAACTGGAGCCTGTGCTCTGCAACAAGAGAAGCCACCGCAATGAGAAGCCCATGTGCAGCAATGAAGACCCAAGGCAGCCAAAAATAATAAAATAAATAAAAACTTGGAAAAAAAAAAAAAAAGGACAGTGGGTTTGAGTCCCAATCTGAGTTGCATAGTTTCAATAGGACTTACTGAAGGGGAGCCATGATCACCATGGAGAGCATTAATTGGGTGTTTACTTTGCCCTGGATAGATATCAGACATTCTCTCATCTAGTTCTCATTAGAGAATGGAGGTAGGTATCTTCACCCCTGTTTAATAGGCAAGGGAATTAAGTACCAGAGAGGTTAAATTCCTCGATCATTGTCACACAGCTAGCAAAAGGCAGAGCTAGAGTTGAAATCCAGGTTGGATTCCACTGCCTGCCAGGAGAGGGGAAGAGAAAGAGAGATGAAGGAAGAAAACAGAGCAGGATGGGAGAAGAAAAGGAAGAAATGGCAAGGACCACTGTGAAATTGAGTCTTTCTCACTGTGCACTGATGTCTCACTGCAACTACTCCATCCAGGGCACTGGATTCATTGTCTGTACCAGTGGTCCATGCCCCTCTTCTCCCTTCGTCTACCCAAGGAGCCCTGGGGATGACAGGATGAGGCCTCCCATCTCAAGCATGGGCCCTGAGGTCTTTTGGCTGGATTGGTGTCCATAGTAACCATCCCTGTGGCCTCCATATGAACATTCAGAATGGAAAAGCCAGCATCGTTACTTGCAGAAGTTCAGATGAAGGGAGCAACGTGAGATACTAAGGAAGGTGTAGCCAAGTTCACTTGGTAGAGGTAAAAGGGGAGGAGCTGGTAAACAGGGGGGATGAAAGTAACTAGAAAGAAAACCAGCTTGACACGAGGGAAGCAGAGATCCAGACATCTTGCTCATCGCAAACCTCCCTTTGTCTCATTTCCTTTCTAGAATATGCAGGTTCTTTTCCTATTTTTCAACCCCATGGAGATTTAGGGCCATCTTTTGGGGTCACAAAAGAGATGGACATGACTTAGCAACAAAAAACAACAACAGAGGGAAAGAAACCACAGTGCAGCCTATTTGGTTGGAGAAAGACTGATCACCTCTCACCACCACTCTGGCCGTGACCCCTTGGGTTTGGGCAGAAGTGGGAGGTCTGGAAATGTCACTGAGGCTCATGGAGAGAGGAAGAGAACTCCAGGATGAAGACCCAGGGTGTCTGTAGGGTGGTTTGGGGGAATATTGTAGCAGGGGCCACTTGAGCTAGGGGCTGATGTGAGGATGAGAAATCCAACCAGAAAGCCGGTGAAGATGAGATACCACTGCTTCCCTGGTGCTTTGAAAACGCACCAGCTCCTACGGACCCAGATTCTGAGGATTAGGACAAGCAAAAGAGAAAGAGATGTTAGGGGAAGGGATCTGGAATTCTACTTCACAGTCACCTGGAGACCCTGTTTTAAATTAGAAGAGGCTAAGTTACCTTTAAGTATTAATAAGCATTAAAATAAATTTCGGGGACTTCCATGGAGATCTAATGGTGAGGACTTTGCCTTCCAATGCAGGGGTGTGGGTTCAGTCCCTGGTTGGGGAGCTAAGCTCCCATGTGCCTCACGGTCAAGAAACCAGAACATAAACAACAAAAACAATACTGTAACACATTCAAATGAAGACGTTAAAAATGGTCCAGATTAAAAAAACTCTAAAAACATATAAGTTAGGTATACCTCAATTTTAGCACAATACCTACAGGTTCTCAGAAAATAAGAGAGACAAGTACTACATACAAAACTCCCTGTCTGGACCATGTCTGCACAGTAATTGATGTTCCTGGTTTACTACAATAAAACAGTAAGAGCTAGTGGCAGACAGAAGCCCAAATATTGGGGAATTTGTCATATTCTTAGGGGAAGGCATAATGAACAGGTGTTTCAACAACAGGACTCTTGGCAAAAACTATTTTATCTTCCCCAGTCCTGTTTTCTGTTCAAGGGCAGGATGCAAGGTACATTTAATACCCAGGCACACAGCATCACATGCAAATTACATGCAAACCCATACCCACACCCCATTTATCTCTTCATTTTCTGTATTTTCCCAATGCTGGCAGAGGGAAGCGGGCCATCCTCACAACCTAGGGTAGGAGGAAGGAATCAGAAAAAAGCAAGTGGCAAAAATATGATTTCTTTTATTACATAGGGAGCTGATAAAGGTCTAATATAAACTTTACTACATTATTGAATGGAACATTAAATTTCATGAGTTTCATTATACTGGTGATAAATCTGTGTTTTGGGATGCCATTCTGGATGATGTAATTCTGAGGAAGAGTAATTCCATTCAAATGGCTCTGATGAGGTGTTGGTACCTCCCGCCCAGTAAGTCTCCAGTCCAGCTCACACATAAATGTCCACTCAGGGACCCAGGACCCTTGAACACTTGGTTTAGAGAAGTTCCAAACAATGTTTCTCTGTTGATTTATCTTATAAGCCAATATTTCTCCTGGCATCTCAAGTGTAGGGTGTCCATGGCAGGACGAGGTGGGTGTTTGAGAGACTCCGCTTAATACCCAGATTAGAATTCCACAGCAAGAAACAAGAAGCAAAAGGAAAGGAAGCTGGGAATGAATGTAAAGGTTGAATATAAGCTTGTAGTCTGAAGTTGCTTAATCTTTTGCCTGCCTAGCATTCCTTTGGTGGAGGACTTTAATGAGATTGTCATTCAACGGACTTCACACCCCCATCATAGGGGTGGGCATGTGACCCAGGCTGGCCAATCAATTTATACTCTTGGATCCAGTGATTGGTTCAAAGGTGGACTCATGACCAAAGAAGAACTAGTCATGACCCCTGATTGTGGGAGGATTGCTAATGGGCACTGGGAGAAAAAGGCTATCCTTTCCCACTGTAATGTCCATGTTAAACTGCAGCTTCTAGACCCCACAGAGGAGAATCTGGTCGAGAATAAAGACAGGATAGAGGAAAATGTACCAGAATGATGAAGAAAAATCAAAGAGTGATGACATAGTTTGAGTCCCTTGATTTGGCTGTAACTGCATATCTCCTGTTTGTACGGATTTCCAAATTGTGTGAACTGATACACTTTCTTTCATCTATTTTGAGTTGGGTTTCTATCTTTTGCAACAGAATTAGTTCCTGACAAATACACACTGTAGGAGGAATTCAGTGAAGAATGAAGAGTAGGATAATGCTTGATGGAGAAAAAAGAATGTAACAATATCGTAGGAGAGGAAGAAAGAGATGAAACTAAAGAAAAAATAAAGGAGGTTAGGGTAGGTGATATGATGGTTTAGTGGCCCTCTTCCATCGAAAGGCAATTATTTCTGTTAAAATTTATTTTGGGGTTTTATCCCCAAAGTCTGTGGGGGCTTCCTGGTAGCTCAGCAGTAAAGAATCCACTTGCAGTGCAGGAGATGCAGGAGACTTGTGTTCAATCCCTAGGTCAGGAAGACCCCCTGGAGGAGGAAATGGCAAACCACTCCTGTATTATTGCCTGGAAAACTCCGTGGACAGAGGAACCTGGTGGGCTACAGTCCATGGGGTCACAAAGAGTCAGACACAACTGGGCAACAGAGAACACACACATGCCCCCAAATCTGTGAGCATGGTCCCTCAGGGAAGAGGTGATGCAAAACTCTTTCTGGGCCCCATGGTGGGAATCAAAGATTTCGTCTGATCCCTGGCAATTCTAGACTATTGAAATCACCCTTGGCTAGAAGAACAGTGGTAGGTACACTGTGTCTAGTGTGGTTGGACACCCTGTCCTTGATCATTGCAAAACCTGTTTACCATATTGCAAAATATGGAGATGAGTAAAGTGAAAATCCCAGGTTACCATGGGAAGCAGGAAGATCAACAAAGAAACTCAAAACTTTTGTCCTCAATTATTTGTTCTTCTCAGGTTCTTCCATCCACATGAGAGTGTTCTGGCCTCTGGTAATTGCCCTAGGAATTCTTCCACAGAGATAATCTTGTTTGGTTCTGCTTTCTGTTCTTCCTCCTGTTTTGATTAATAGGTAATAATTCACTGCTGGATAGCATGTAACCTCTTTCTTTGACTTGTCCTGTACTCTCTCTCCTTACTGTCTGAGATAAAGTAATTCCATATAGAGAAGGTCCCAACTGAAAATGCTATTCTTTAGACTGGGTGTGACTTCTTGGTAAGACTTAAATGTTTGTGCAAGACATTTTTGTCGATGAACACAAAATTTACCCTTTCATCTTGAATATTTATAGTATTCAAGTATACTGGGACTGTAAAAATCAT